TGGTTGTCTCATTACCCTCTCAGCCATCAGCTTGTCACTATGTATAATTGAAAGAATAAACGTAACTCGGCTGCCATGGACAGGTTCGTGCACTAGGCAATCAGTGACACTCATGGTAAGACGGATGGTTATACCACCGGGCTGCGCACACTCTCATAGATGAAATGGCGTTCGAACTGATGACCTGCTGATTGGAAGTCAACTACTTGAACCACTGGGTCATAGTTTGACTATAATCGCTATTCTAGCACGACTTCTGAAATAACCAGTTTTGCTTCTTAATTTCATAAAATAACTACCATCCCATAGGAAATGCAAAATCTGACTGGTTATTTTAATGGTTGCTAGGGTAGCCCTTTAGACTCGATTTTCTCAACTAGAAGCAGCTGGTAATAAACGCAACAATTGTGACTAAATGCCATCCTAACAACAAGTATAATAACCCATTAGACTTCAGTGTATGAAACTGTACTTCTAGCCGCGATGGCGAAACCTGATTGGCTACTTTAGTCTACTAGTTATGATTCAGCTAAAGGGCTAATTAAAAGTCCATCCTGGTAACTGCTGAAATAACCAGTCAAGTTTAAATATTCCTGTCAAGAGGGGAGCTTTTCATAAAATAGAGAAGTCTAATTAGTTATGTCAGCAGTTGCCAAGGTGGCACCTTCAGGATCACTTCAACTGAAACATCTCATCGTCAAAATGAGTGACTTTCAAGGCTACCTTAACAACAGCTAAAATAACCAATTAGATTTCGATTCTGCATGAAAGTTTGCCTTTCTAGTCAAAATGAAGAAGCCTGATTGGTTACTTCGATTGTTGCTAGGGTGGCCGTCTAAGCTACTCCTTCAAATAAGAGAATGGATTCGACTCATTGTCTTGAAAAAACAAGTAACTCCCAAGGAATGACTTTGAAGCCCATTCAAGCAACAACAAAAGTAGCCAATTACGTTTCTTTATTTTGGGTAGAAAGGCAAATTTCCCCACAAGATGGAAATCTAATTGGTTACTTCAGTTGTTCTTGGAGTGACCTTTCAAGCCGAGTGACTCTAGCAACTGTAAAAACAATCAATTAGGTGCAAAGTTTTGCAGTAGGCAATCAGCCTCGCTTGTTGTGTAAAGTCTAATGATACTACCTGAGTGACCAAGTTTGAGTAGGTGTAGCAGTTTTGGAACCCATGACCCAATGGTTGAAAGTCAACGCCTTAAATCAATGAGCCACAACTAATTGTCCAGTAGAAATATAAAGTTAATTGATTATTCTACCGACTGATAAGGTGACCGATAACACCAACAGTCTTGAAAGGATCGATTACTCAAAGTGACGACAACCGTTCATCAGTTAGAACGGTCTCTCATGTGCGCAAGTACTCATCGCATACATATATCAAAAGTGGGTAAGTGCCTCATATTTATAGTGGAACAACAGTAGACTCGACCTCTTAACTGACTTGTTGGAAAGTTACTAGTAGTTGCTGGAGGATGAGTGGGGGGCAAAGGTAGGTGACGTAGAGAACCAATCGAAAATGCAACACCATACAACCATCTGTAAATTACAGAGAAACAATAACCAACATCATGAATATCTGGCAGAATCGAGGCAACCGCATAGGAGCCTATCTGACAACAGAGCTCGAGTGATTCCGCACTGTATAGCAACGGAAAATTACAAGTATCTTAACAACAACTGATACCCACTGCACAAGAGGTGGCTATCGCGCCCCAATGGCTTAGTGGATAACGCTTTGGAGTCCCATGTACGACAAAACGCTGGTTCTGGATTCCACTGCTAGTTACCAAGATGAATAAAACAGTCCAAGTAATCTTTAGTGACGAGTAACCTTGAGAATGGCCAATGAGTTTGAGGATAGAGGTGAAAACCATTCATTACGTCCGTCTATATGTGGAGTCGTTTCAAAAGGTTTCTAAGACCCTTAACAGTATCAAGAGGGGATATGTTATGGTTTCATATGGATGAGTGGCAATACAGACACTGGTATGGTTTCAAGGATGATAAATCTGATATACATGTGAAACGGATCTATAAACTGTAATGAAAGCACCATTTTCCCTACTAACTACTTTGTCCTTCATATTCTCGATTATGATTGGTCAGTGCATTCCTGAACGCGATTCGCAGTCACTAAAGTTTACTTTAACCAAAACATATAAACTCTCGACTATTTGCATATACATTTCATCTGTCTTGTCTGCAATCAATATGAATCCTCATCTGTGGGATTAGTGTTTATAAAACAAACTAACTAAGTGACAAGTATTCATGGACGGTAAGGTGACCAAACATTCCAGCAGTTTAGTAGAGCCAATAAAGACTCCCATCAGTTCCCTCATGCTGTTGGACAATTTATAAAGAGTTGTACACATTTGTAATCAACAAGCGCAAAGCTTGATACACAAATCAGTTGCGCGGGTCAATTTGTCATCCTTTAGTCTCCCACTGAGATAGGTTATATACTACTGAGAAAACTATGCATATGACTGTATTTATGAATGAATCCAGGTTTCTAATGTTGCTATATCAGCCAAAAACTGGAAAATGTGAATCTCAGATAAATGTCACTTGTCGTATTACTTCTTGTTTTAAAAGTTGGCTTACTTATGAGATGAATTCAGAGACATCATGCACCAGGCCAGGCACTCAAGTGGAACCCAGATGGGAAACGACGAGTTGGGTGTTCAAAGGTGACATGGAGGAGATTGAGTGAGGAAGAAATGAGAGGTTGTCGGCTGTCGTGGAGCCAGGTTGAGAGGATTGCAGAGAACAGAGTGCACTGGAAATGTGCTACTGAAGCCTTATGTTCCACTAGGAATCCAAGGGACAATAATAATAATAATTAGTCACACTATTGTATAGCCAGCTCGCTTGCTCCAAGCGGTTAGGAGAACAGAATGGAATGACTCAACGTGTGGTTGGGTGAATTGATTATATGAGAATGAGCAATTATATTCAAGATCAATCACACTCAAGGTCAGCGTTGAGATTGAATAAGCCGGATCACATGCTCCAGTCAATTATAGTGAGACAAGGTTATAATAATACTCTTTTGGACTCAGTTCGACCAATTGAAAAGTATGCCTAAGCGCAAATAAATCTAGTTGACTCATCGCTCATTAGCCTTACCTCTATACTGGTATGCGTGCGCACTGGCACTCATGATTCCACAAAGTCCTATTCCATGTGTCTGCTAAATATTCACAGATTAGCGTTTACAAAGAATGATGGGAGTTAAATACATCACGGAAAGGGCATGTAAACCTACCCAGCTGGCAAACACTGAATGGATTTTGAAATTTTCGGGCAAAAAGCCGCTGAAAAACTTTGGGCTTACTGTAGACAATGTATCCCTGTTCCCGAAATAGCCAAAACTGTAAAAGTGAGCCCAAATTGTCTGCAGTGCACCTAAAGTTTCATAAATTAAAGGATTATAACAGGCACTAAGTAGTGTATGTGAATAGAATTTGGATATGTAGGTGCCTAGTCGTGGAATGAGATTTCCAACCATCTATTAACTTCCTGAGAGACTAAAGGATGCGCTAGATTCAGAATTACGACCGGAACAGGCAGACTTCAAGAAGTACAAACCGTATGCGGACCAAATTCCAACGTTTCTCGTCATCATAGAACAGAGCATAGAATGGCAATCAGCTCTCTACCTCAACTTCATCGACTTTGAAGAGGTCTTTGACAGTGTCGACCGACGAGTAATTTGGCAACTGCTCCAACACTACAGAATACCCAAAACCTTTATCAACCTCATTCAAAAACTATATGAAGACGCCACATGCCAAGTAATTCACAATGGAAGCTCAGTGATGCCTGTGAAGTGAAGACAGGAGTAAGACAAGGCTGCTGCCTACTATCACCCACCACCTTCCTGATTTTGGTCGACTGGATCATACAACAAACTGTGGGGAGTGAGAATAGGGGCATACGCTGGACCGGGGAAAAGATCCTAGAAAATTTGGATTTCGCCGCCGATGAATTGTGTCTAATGTCTTGTCGTAGAAACTCGAAGATCTACAGGCGAAAACCAACAATTTGACAGAAGAGGTAGAGCAACGAAAATGGGACTTCAAGTGAATGTAGAAAAAGAGAGAGGTGATGAAGATACCCAACCAACTCCACCACCACCAACAACAACAACAAGCTCCAATCACCATCAACGGGAGAAACTTAAAGGAAGTAGCCTCCTTCAACTATCTAGGCAGCATCGTTTCAACTACAGGCGGCACAGATGAGGAAGTCAAAGCCAGTCAGGATCGGAAAGACAGCAAGATAGGCGTTCATTAATCTGAAATCAGTGTGGAGATCTACTACACTCAACACAAAGAACAAGATTCGGATTTTGAACACTGATTCAGTCAAGTCAGTGCTGCTATATGGTTCAGAAACTTGGCGTGTTAGGAAGAGCATTTCCAACAAACTACAGGCATTCATCAACAGCTTCCGCCTACGCTCACTCAACACTTAAAACCCGATGACCAGAATAATAAGAATAGGCAGTGAGGAACTCTGGTAACGAACCAACGAAGCAAGATCCTATTGCTCAACAAATATGCACTGGAAGACAGTTGAGATGGATTGGATTGGGCATGCACTAAGAAGACCATTCAGGGATATCACTCAGATGGGAAACGACGAGTTGGGTGTTCAAAGGTGACATGGAGGAGATCGAGTTAGGAAGAAGTGAGAGGTTGTGGGCTGTCGTGGAGCCAGGTTGAAAAGATTGCAGAGAACAGAGTGCACTGGAAATGTGCTACTGAAGTCATATGTTCCACTAGGAATCCAAGGGACAAATATTATTATTATTATTAACTTCCTGAAGACTGTAATCTTACGAAATATAATTTATTTTGGAGACGTGCCAAAAAAGCTACAATCTGCATTCAAAGTTGACTTCAGGCTAATTCAGGTCTATTTTGATTAGCAATCTTAAACAGACTTAATGAGTATTTAAATCATTTATGGAATTACTTACCGATGCTCTTCTGAAGGATCCAATCTACTGATGCTTGTTTTCAAATCACTAGAGTGAATTAGTATTCCACTTGAATCTTCATGTTTCGGTGAGATAGATGCTGATGAATCAGTGAAATTTTTACTGATTGTTCGTTTCCTTGGGATGAGACCAAGTGTTTTACAATATTGTTCATATGTGATAAATCCATTATGATCTGGATCAAATAGTTCAATCCATTTATGAAGGAAAGTTTCTTTATAATGCATTTTACGCATATAAGTTTTTAAATCATCAATTGTAATCACTCCTCTTTTCTCAGTGTCTAAATTTTCAAAACACTTGCGAAATTCAGCCATATTTAGAATAGTTTACTGTAGAAATAAATCGATATGTATATCTATATATATTTCAGATCCCAGAAAACCTGGTAAAAGTTAACAACAAGTAATTCTTAAAGAAAATCGGATCCGCACACTATTTTGTTTACAATCTAATGCCACGTGTGTGTTAGACCATTTGCAAAAAGAGGCCGAATGCATGCTTTATGCTACTGTTAAAAAAACCCACCCACGAATATTTTGATTGGTTAATTTCAAGGAAAATCAATGGATCGAAAGCTAGTCGATTGAAAATCTTATTAGCCAATCAGTGATCTAGTTAATTTTTATAAATAACCAATCATATTACTTTTGAGCTTTAAGTCATCAATAATTTTTGAAAAAAAAAATTTACCAAAATTTATCAATTGAGATTATAAGCGTGGTAAAACAGATTTTATTTAAAAATCTTTCTCAACAACATGATAAAAGATTATGCAGAAGAGACATTTGTACCTCAATGTGGTACGTGATAATTTTTAAACTCATTTGTGAAAAGTCTAGTGAGCTAAATAATTAACTAACAAACTGATTACTTGATCAACATTTTTCAATGTCTTATTGTCAATAAATAATGAAATTCATGTCTGATTAAACATCTGTAGATGATTGAAGAAGAAGTTACTTGGTGTGAAAATAAAAACAAGTAATTAGGTTGCAAGAGTACACTGAGTATGAGTCAACAAGGAGAAACTAGACTCATTGATTTGTCAGTGGACAGCAACCAATTTCATGTTATCTGGTGCTTCATAATGTGGTCAACAAGCTAGGAGTCTCACCATTGTGGTGGATTTTGATAGATGAATGGTTACTCTCCAGTGAATACTCACTGTTCAATCTAGTTCAATCCTACAAGGAAGTAATCGTGACCCTAATGGTTCGATGGTAACGGCATTTTAATCTCCTTGCTGACGAATGCCAACAGACACGAAACCTAAGTCCAAAGCTTCCTGCCAATTACCTCAAACCAACTAACAAGGGAAATTAAACTCTCAAAGTAGAAGGATATATCATAAGGACAGAAGACGTAGAAGGTTAATAGGATGTTATAGTGAGAGAAAAGATCACGAAATCTTCAGAAAAAGGCGTAAACACCTGGAGCTTTTAACAACCAATCATATCGCACCTAATTTTCGACAGGAATCACGTGAATAAGCGTGTAAATACCTGATTGGTTGAATAGATGAAAATCAATAGGATATTTAAATCTAGAAAAGGCCTGGATAGTTGAAGCCATTGTAAATATCACTTAAGCTCTTGCATTTTGTATATATTTTTGACGTTACAATATACTTCCTGTTATTTTTACCGCCTTTTCCATTTATTGAGAAAATTGAGCGACTATCAAGTGGTAGTCCAACAACAACAGCAAGAAACTCCAGTCACCATCAAGGGAGAAACTTAAAGGAAGTAACCTTCTTCACCTATCTAGGCAGCACTGTTTCAACTACAGGCGGGACAGACGAAGATGTCAAAGTCAGAATCGGAAAAGCAAGACAGGTGTTCATTAGCCTGACACCAGTGTGGAGATCTTCTGCACTGCACTCAGCATGTGGAACAAGATCCAGATTTTCAACACCAACCTAGTCAAGTCAGTGCTTCTGTATGGTTCAGAGACTTGGCGCGTTACGAAAGGGATTTCCAATAAACTACACACATTCATCAACAACTGCTTACGCTGGCTCGCTACTGAAGATCAGATGGATTGCCAGAAAGAATAAGCAACAAGGAACTCTCGCTGGCTGGCAACGAACCAACCAAGAACCTATCACCTAACAAATATGTAGAAGGAAGTGGAGATGGATTGAGCATACACTGAGAAAGCCGACTGGGGACATCACGCGTCAGGCCTTCGAGTGGAACCTGGATGGGAAGCGACGAGTTGGGTGTCCGTGGTGAGGGTGACATCAAGGAGATCGTGCGAGGAGGAAATGAGAGCTTGTGGGCTGTCGTGGAGCCAGGTCCAAAAGATTTCGGAGAACAGAATTCACTGGAGACGTGCTAGTGAAGCCCTATGTTCCATTAGGAACCCAAGGGACTAATAATAATAATAATAATAATCAAGTGGTAGAATCTGAAGGTAACTGTACAAGCATGAAGTTTTTTGTTCATCAGAGGGTTTAAAAAAATATTCAGCGCTTGGTCAATAATGTCTGTCATATGAGGGAGGGATCACATTCTGTTTTATGTCTAGATACACGCAACCTTGTACATATTCAGGCACTAAGCGATGAGTTATAACCATTATATACCACGTCTAGTGATATCACTAACTGACTGCTTGAACCTCGATAGATGCAGCGGCGATGGAATCTGTGACTTATTGGATGAAAGTTAACTCTGTAAAACACTCAACCATAGACCACTGTTTTGCTGTATATTTCGTTACTAAAGCAGAACTGCACGCTGATATGTTTATACTCTACTCAAATACTTCCTGAAAATATTTCATAACTGTTCCTCTGGAAAATAGAATGCCCGAAATTATTTTACTGATAACATCTCAATTATTATTATTTGTCCTTTGGGTCCCCACAAGAACATGCCGCTTCACTTGCATATTGCCATTCCACTCTATTCTCTACAGTTGTTTAACCTGTCTCCATGACTCACGGCCTATGGCGACCTGCTTGAACTCTGGGCTACCGTTTTCTATCATCGAGTATATTGCATCAAATTTCTTATTTCTATATTGTTTTAATCGTTTAATTATGTCAACCAATCGTATTGTATATTCTCGCGCGTTTTTAAAATCATTACAACCTATCGCTTCGCAAGTTGATAGGAAATTTAAGAAGAAGCACCACGGTGGATGGCAACGAGCTCTGAAGCGTATGACCATAGATCAAATGACTATTCCGGAAATACTTAGCACAAACTGCAGGTCGTTGCCGAATAAAGTTGATTACCTTCAGTCACTCTTGTCCACAAATGTTTATCGAAACACGGGTGTAATAATGCTGCAGGAAACATGGCTTCATAATCTGTATGATGATGACTTAGTCTGCTTAGATGGTTTCAAATTATTTCGACAAGATCGAAGCTTTTCGAAGAAGAAATGTGGTGGTGGTGTAGCAACATTTATTAGTACTAACTGGTCGTCCTCCAACTATGTATGCTTCTGCTTCTCTAACGAAAAAATTGAGTGCATTACCATCAAATGTCGTCCCAAACATTTGAGCAAATACAAATACATATATATCACAAACATGTATGTCACACCTGACTGCAGTTTCTCAGATTTGTCAACTTTTGCTGATAAATTCACTGAATTTGCTGCTCCGGTTCTGGGAAACTCCTTGTCTATTGTCTGTGGTGATTTTAACTCATGTGACTACAGTTTTCTATTATCATTGGGTCATAAAAATATGGTTAACTTTTCCACTCGTCTTGACAACACCTTAGACTTTGCATTTACAAATGAACCTGGCATATATGAAGCCCGTAAACGGGCTCCACTGCTAATTCCGACCACTGTATCGTTCGTGTTTTGCCTAAAGTGTACGGAAAATTATACAAGAAAGCTTTTGCATACCTTTCAAGGAAAGTTCAATACAGATGCTATTCACAAGAAAATATATTACGTTTGAGAAGCATGCTTATAGAAACGGACTGGGATATATTTGCTGATGAAGTTTTAGACAACACTATTACCAATATCACAAGATTCTGTCTCGATATCTGCTGCCCTACTGAAACAATTTACATGAGATTTGACAGACTTTCCTCTCCTCATCTCAAGAGGCTTCGGAGAGAAAAGGAAAGGTTGTATAAGGCGAGAGATCACCCTGGCGTTAAAAGGCTTAACTGCCTAATTAAGTCTGAAATACAACGTCTGAATACTATATACAACGAGAAGTTCTTATCGTGTAAGAACTCTTCCAATATATGGAAATTATTTAAAGAGCTTACTGGTAAAAAACAGATGACAACACAAACTCGTTCGGATGTCTGCGCGTTAAACAAGTCATTTATACGTCGGCAAGCTAATTTCACCCTTCCTAATGTGCAAAATCAAGTGGATAGCTGCTTTCCAGGTTTCAATACAAATGATGTATTTAAATGTCTAAAGTCTTTGAATCCCTCCCAAAGCTTAGGTCCTGATGGTGTTTCTAGTATCATATTTAGAAAATGTGCAGATATTTTGTGTCATCCACTTACAGATATCTTCAATGTATCGTTCTCTAAAAACATAATACCCACTGCTTGGAAGCAGATAAAAATTGTACCTGTGCCTAAGCCATCTTCTGGATCAGATGTTACTTTTCGACCCATCGCTATAACTTCCCCTTTTCTGAAGACAATGGAGAAATTACTTCTGCTTGTGATTGAGCCTTCATTGATGGCCTTCAGAGATCCAAAACAGTTTGCTTACAAACACCGGAGGAGTACTTTAGATGCAGCATCATAATATTGTTTCTAGTCTCGACAAAGGTGTTAAGTATGTCCGTTGTGCCTTTTTGGATTACTCATCAGCCTTTGACTCTGTTCCTAGACCACTTTTGTTAAATAAGCTTGCCATAGCTCACACTGATCCATGGGTTACAAAATGGCTGCATTCTTATTTTTCTGAAAGGAAACAGTACACTATTCATAAAGGGATGCGCTTCACTTCATTGCTTACTGAAGCTGGTGTGCCTCAAGGTGCTGTACTTTCTCCTTTTCTGTTTTCCTTTTTTTGCACGATTTGCCTTATTCTGTTGAAACTAATTTTATCAAGTATGCTGACGACCTGACGATTTCTATTCCAGTAAACTCTTCTTTGGATTGCTCGAAATTAAATGAATTCTTGTCTGAAGTTGGTAAATGGTCTCTCTCAAATGGTCTCAAACTAAACCCCTCTAAATGTCAGACCGTTAATTTTAGCCTCAGGCGTAAACAAGACTTATGTGAGCTGCTTAAATCTCATGACGCCTGCTGCATCAATGGTATTTCTGCAGAAAGTAAATCGAGTGTGAACTATCTTGGGTTGTGTTTTACTTCTGACCTTTGTTGGTCGTCCCATATTTTATTGACTTGTAAAAAAATCTTTCGTTTAACTTATTACGTAAAGAAATTGAGGCTTTCTGGTATAACTCAACTGCTTCTTTTACAATTTATTAATTCCTGCATTTTACCTATTCTTCTATATTGTTCCCCATTAATCTTTCCTGGTCTTCTTAAAAAGGACTATGTTATGTTGCGTAGGGCTTTGAAGACCGTCAGCAGGGTGAGTGGTGTGTCTCTGGCTCAACTGATTAACACTGTAGTTGATCGACATATAAATTCCTGCAAGCTACTAGCTACAGAAATTTTAACTGACAGTGAGCATCCACTTCATTTACAGCTCTCTCCATGTATCTCCTCAGGGAGGACAAGGAGAAACTACATAAGACTGTATGCTCGTACAGCTAAGTATAAGAATTCGACTGTACCTTACCTTGCACGTATATTTTGTGAGGAAAAAAGTGTTAGAACAGAAATCACACATCAACTTTGTGACAGTTAAAAATCTCATTTCAATAATTCAACTTACATTACAAAATTTTCTCGTTTTTAATATTCTTCACATATTTCAAGTTGTTATTCATCGCAGACTGACATCAGTTAGAGGAACAAACGAAACCTGGGTGCGCTGGACACCTGTTTCATCCGACTAGTATGAGACTCAGTAGTGCGCACCCATAACCCCGTCATGGACCGAACCCGTGACCTTCAAGTTCCGTGGCTAGCACGTTACCATTGAGCTAGCCACTGGGTCAGAATCCGACCGTTTATATTTCCAACTTCTGTTAGCTCCATACAACTCCCTCAAAACTCAATTGAACTGGTGCTCATTGGCGACTAGCTTCGAGAGGTATTCCCAAAGTTCCAATTAGAAGTGGTGACTGGTAGGGGCAAAGCCTGATGGTCGTGAGGACAGTTAATCACCGATGACAGTGGGTGGCGATTGCGCTATATCGTGAAGTTGGAATTATGGATGATTGGATTCTGACCCAGTGGCTAGCTTAATGATCACCTGCTGGCCATGAAACCTGAAGGTCACGGGTTCGATCCCTGGTGTGGTGGGGTGGGGTCATGGGTGTGCACTGTTGAGGGGTCCCA